CCGATCCCTCGACAAACGACAGACGACTTCGGACTAGGTGCGTTCTACTAAGTCTCCCTGACAAAAAGACCAAGTTACGACAATGAGGTCAACCCACTTCTATAAATCGAAAGGAGACTGCGACCATGCCAGAGGTCACAACATTTTGGTCTTCATACCTACATCTCATATACTTTAGTTTTACCTTTGTTATTTACCAATTTGTTACTCCTATTTACATAATACTTGTTATCCATTCCTCTCTTTGTATCGAAGGTGAGGTTAAGCTTTTATATCGACTGCATAAGCTCCACTCTTATTGTGAAATACTCGTGGGTGATTTTGTTAGTGACTGTAATAGATCCTATCAGAATCTTGTGTCACATCATCTTGGTCTTCATATAAAATATATAGCATATGAGGTGTATTAACCCTATTTCGTTAAAGGTGATAAGCGGGGCTGGTAGTTGACGTCTCCCAGTGACCTTTTAAGTAGATCTTACTGGTAGACTCCAAAACGATGAATACAGTATATAGTGTCAGCATAAGCCACTATGGACTTCCAGTTTGATAGTTGGACTGCAGCCGAGGATGAGATGAACAAATCTTGATTATATATTTCTTACTACTTGGTATCCTAATAGGCGTCGGCAACACATCTCAAGAGTCGCGAGCTTTAGATACAGTGCCTCAATGGTCGCAAGGCCCATCAGAATAAAATAAGTCTACCTCAATTTGTAGTTGATGTGTCAGCTGGCGTCAGGCCTCCGTACACCAATGATTCCCCATGACATAACACTAACCTGAGGCCTTCGCAGGAATGAGCTCCAGCTCTGACAATGTCTGTCAGACTGACTAAAGCTCAGCCCATTTAAGCCAAAATGAGGATGTCTCGTAGACTGCTTCAGCCCGAATAAAGTGGTAAAATCAAACAAACGCAGAAGAACGTGTGGCAGCTGTTGTCATTTGATGAGATCGACCTACAAATCTGTTCATCAGTCAATGCTATCTCAAGAGATTAGTTTAAAGCCAGTCTCAATTTGCAGTTGGATGTGTCAACTGGCATCAGGAGGCCAGATGACAATAAACCTAACAGGCACCAATAATATAATTTAAGCAAGCAAAAAAAGGAATTTTAGATTAAACTTGAATAAAGCCTGATGCCATCTGCAAATGGAACTTAGGAAAATATAGTATTCAACAAAAGTGAGTAGAAAAGGTCTATATATATTCAAGATAACAAGATAACTTGACTTGTGTTCCACATTCTGAGACATTGAGTGCAACTGCAAACTATTAAATGGACCCAAAAATCCTGGAGGCACAATACGGATGAATAAAGAAATTTTATCATCATAGTAAAACTGATTTTATAAATGAGCGCTCTTAAGCTTTAATTTGTTCAAAGAAAAGTCTTTAGTCTGATCAACAGATTTATCCAACTGTCCAATAAGTCTTAGTAACGCGAGTATATAGTCCACAAATATTACTGGTCGAGTAATATCTGGTTGACTAGTGAATAAGGGAAACGTGATATGGCCTCATTAGTACATATTTGGCAGAAGATTCAGGAAATCTCTAATTATTTTTTATGGTCATTAATAAGCTTTTCATAATTTCCTCACTGTTGATCCATTTCCAGCACACTAAACCTTACTAAGCCGATCCTAGTGTTATTAATAATGAGCTAATTCGATAGCACTCAAGTGGGTTTAAGCTGGAAACTGTCTTCATTCCAGGTAGTCAAAGGAGAAAGAGAGAAAAATGCCAAATTCCCGAAGGCTCTGGCAGATTTCGATTATAATCAGGGTCATTATCAGGACCAGTCGGACGTTCCAAATCCTTTTGTCACATTAGTAACGACAATAAACTGTAGGATAAGCACACTTCCTAATAAATCTGGCGTTTTGAGGTAGATGCAAAGTCCTAGTGACAACCTTTTAATTTCTTCGAAACATGACTAATATATTTTGCAATGCGTTTCATCTCAAATGGACTACAATAGATGCCAAAGTGACCCATCTTGATAGTCAGTATAGGTTTAGATACATTTAATGTAAGTTATTCTATATAAGTTGTTTGACCTTGTTTTCACAATTTGGTCATATTGGCAGGAAGACCCAGAGAAACGTACCTTCTCCGGAGTCCATAGTATGCATGCTAATTTTAAGAGGACTTCCTGACAATATGACCAAGTTGCGAAAACAAGGTCAAGCAACTTCTATACAACGAAATGAGACCGTGACCATACAAAAGGCCACACCATCTTCGTCTTCACAGATATAAGGTTATCTATAAAGCACAAGTTCAGAAATAAGTTCAGAACACTTCAGTGCATGTGGCAAAGTATGATAACCAGGGTGAAATCATGAACTAAGAAGGAAACCAGGGGAAATTCTCAAATAGCGAACTATAATCATACCTAAATACAATCACAATTCACAACTGATTTTGAGTCTATGTCTAAGTGGAAGACGTGCTGGCTCAAAAAACACTTGTGGGAAAAAATTTGATGCACGACCTTGAGAACCTTGATAGAGCATAGATCTATTGAGCATATACTTTAAGGTTATGGGGCACAAAAAAGTAATGCTAAACTCAATTGGTCTATTACTGAGACCGTAACTGAGCAGTAATGGATTAGCATAATCTATGGTGAAATGGGATTTTGATTATAAAGCGGAGCATAGAGGCAAAACGTCAAAGATTCTGGAGGCAAGGCTTGTGTAAACATCGTCGGATAAAATTTATGAGAATAGCCATATTGCCGAGTAGAGGCGCCGAAATATGAAATTATGTTACAATATAGAAAGAACATAAATGTTGGGCCTAAAATAAACTAACTCAAGGGATTCTAGAAGTTCTAAGCTAATTACTAGCCACGAGGGAAAATAAAGGAAAAGAAATAGGAAGGATATGAAATGTTGCAAAAGGCAATCTTCTAGAGAATGGAAAAGCTAAATTCCTTGTAAGAATATGCTCACATAAATCCTCATATCTCCCAGTGTCATGGATGTGTTGTTATAGGAGCCTACGAGTTATCATTGTGGAAGCAAGACCTTCCACCAGATGAAGCAATGCTAGACAAGGATTACGTTCTCTTCGACCCCTCATGAAAATGATACGCCTAACATAATTGCTTTGATATAGAAGAATAATTTCCTGAAACTTACCATGATGGTGGGAGTAGGCAGCCGCGTGCGAAAGTAGCTGGCGCGTAGTGTTGGCTGCCTGTTGAAGCAATTGATGATCTGACCGTTGTGGTGCTTGTCCCGAACCAAGACTGTGAGGTTGGTGTTGGTGTGATTGGTGCTGGTGGTGACCCTGATGGTGGGAGTAGTGTGCGTTCGGCAGCATCTGACTGTGTGAACTATTCAATTCGGCGCTAGTATGTGCCTGACTTCCGGGTAGGTGAGATGGAGGTTGGGTGTGGTGTGCCTGGTGGGGCTGTTGCATCTGCTGATGCTGTTGGTGATGGGCGTGGTGGGGCGGCCCTTGTCCAGATGGAAGGTGATGCTGGTGCACTGAATGCAAATGATGGCCCACTTGATGATGATGGTGGTGGTGATGATGATCTGGGGGCTGTTGACTGTGTTGATGCTGTTGGTGGTGGTGATGCGGAGGGGGTTGACCCGAGAAGCCTGGCCCAAAGTGGTGCTGCTGGCAGAAGGAGCCGCTAATATGACCCGAATGGGTTGATGGATAGCCAGGCTGGTGCGGCGGTAGGTGGTGTTGATGAGGTAACATCGGATGGTTGGCCGGAGATGAAGGGCCAGTCAAATGCAAATGACTTTGTGGGTGTTCGTGGTGGGCATGCTGTTGTTG